TGACTGAAGTTATCCTTAACGTGCAGGGCAACCAAAGGCCTTTCCTTTAAGATATCCTGACTATTGCTTCTAAATAAATATAAGTAAAAAGATCCTTTTAGAAAAACACTAAAGTGTCATCCAAGTTGCAATTACGGAACGAGAAGTACCCATTAACAGGCAAGGGACCCGAGGGCACCAACACACTGAAAGGAGTTTAAATGGCCAGAATGGAGCATACAATTAACACAGCTGGCAATGGGCTCCCACTTCTCAAATGATCTACTCACAAAACATGAAGCGGTAAACGCTGTCTGAGCACTTCAGGGGCTCCCATCACCCCACCTTTCACAAGCTAGCACATACCACACAGGTGCCCAAACAGCTCTGGGTGGAACATCTCACCGTGGATCATCAGAAAAACAGGAGGTCATCACCTTTAAGAACACATCTTAAACTAAATGCCAAACAAGGTATTCAATCAACAGATTTTATTTCTAACTTTCAATAGAAGCCCTCCATTAGCCAGGTGTGGGGGTGCACATTTTTCATGCCAGCACTGGGGAGGCAGAGTCAGGGGGACCGGAGTTTGAAGGCCTGCCTGACTGTCACATTGAGTTCCAGGACTCAAAACAAGACTGAAGTAGCTTTTATAATTACATAGCTTATTTAAACAGAGACGATCTAATTCCTTTAGTTATCAGCATCTCAGGTGTGGTGCTACTGTTCTGTTAAATTTGCATGTATGAGTACATGCATGTGCGCACCAGTCACAGCACACAGTAGAGGTCAGAGGACAACTTGTGGGAGTGGCTTCTCTCCTTCCACCACGCTCATGAGATCCAGGGGTTGAACTCAGACAGTCAGGTTTGATGGCAGGCACCCCATGCTCACCGAGGTTATCTCGCCCACCCAGGTATCTTAGCTATATCATTTGCTTTAATTTTCCTAGCATCTCATGGTTCCGGGAGGCCAAGAAACTCACACATCACCACAGAGCTAGTGGTAAAACCAGGTTCAAACTCCACTGTTTATAAAACACTACATATGCTATGACTGATTGCAATTAACTAGAGGTCAGGTAAAACCAACCTACAGTGCTGTAAATGACATCTGATGTCACACTCAAGGACGAGCACAGGAGCCTTTAGGGCAGCGGAAGTTCCTACTTCTGAACATAAACTGGAGCTCACACTCGCGCACTCCCCACAGGCTACATTATGGAGCCAACTGACTCCAAGTTCATGGTCCTAACTACCAAACCATCTTTCCACAGTTCACAGGGCCTTGCTACATTCTTAGAACTGATTACCTTGTTTCAAAAACAAAAGTGAAGAATCTAAACAAACCTGGTTTAAAATGTCACAGAATGAAAAGTGGAAAGTATCGATTTCCTGACTACTGAGAATTTCCCCTCAAGGAGAAAAAGCAAAACAAAACAAAACCAAAAGAAAACACCCAGCTGAAGGGAATGTCTATAGAGACACAGAAAATAATTTGTAGTCATTTATTACATTTACATAAAATATGGACACCTAAAAGTACATAAATGTTAAAATGCACATTATATTTAATCAGATACAATGCTGGCTCTCAAAAAATTGGGATTTTGTTACAATAATGAAGCCAAGCCAAGCAAATAAAGCTGGCAGCAAAAGTAGCAACTTCACAATACTGACAACATACAGTTGATAGGAATAGAAAACTGAGCAGGGCTAACTTTCTCCAGGAGTAACTGCACCCGGATGCCTCGGGAACCAATCCATCAAACTGTAACTGCTTCCCAGGCTCTGTTCAGACTGGCAAAACCTCTCCACCAGTAGGTGATGATGAAATCATTACATCAGTTCTCAAAAGCCTCACCCCACACACGCACACACCCCTTATCCAAGCAGTAATTGCCTCCCTAGAGAGGCATAAATTCATCCTACCATTCTAATATATTCATCAAGTACCTACTCCAGAAGGGGAGAGAAGACAGCTGGAACTACATCTGGGGTAGGGCAGGGTGAGCTGGGCTGGGGTTAAGTGCTATCTCCTTATCTGAGTAATTTCTGTTAAGTAGTTAGGAAATATTTACTGCTTTGGAAATAGTTGAGCCTCATTCAATTCATGCTTTAATCTGTACACACCATAGAATAGAATGCCAGACAACTGTGACCCCAAAGCAATCGGAGAAGACAAAAGACTGCTATGGTAAGTTCTGAGAGTTTGGGTAACTTATATACCGCTATTTGGGTGTTTTAATGGGTTGTATTATCAAATACTAGCCTGGTTGCAAAATCTCAAATTTATGAACTCTACTTAGTAATTTTTGAAGTATGAACAGACCATCTAATAAAGCTGTTTTAAAATGCCCGAAGAGTCAAATAGTATGTCCATTAAACAGGTTAGGAAAAATTAATAGCACCCACCAGATGTCTATCAGACCTGTCAATACAGGTCTGATAGAGACCCGAAATTATGGATTATTTTGTTTGTTGTTGAGATAGAGTCTATGAAGCCCTGGCTCTCCTAGAACTTAAAAGATCTGCTTGCCTCTGCCTTCTGTGTGCTGGTATTAAAGGTATAGGCCCCACACCTGGCCCTAAATTATGGCTAAAAACAAAACAGTAGCCATTTCGAAGTTTACTTGAGAAACAAAGACTCATCCTTTCTCTCCTCCTTCGTTTGAGAAAGCCCCCAAAATTTCTAATATAGAGTATCCCAACTTTAAAACTAACCAGCATCATTTTAAAATGAGCAGTATTTGGTCTTGTCTTCTAATATAACCCTTAAACATAAGCACACATTTGAACAAACAGTATAGTGGAAATTCAACAGTAAATTTTCCATCCCCATTTCCCATTTTTAGTGTAACTGTAATATGTTAAAATCAGGGAAATCTAATTTTTTTTAATTTTTTGGTTTTTCAAGACAAGGTTTCTCTGTGTAGCCCAGGCTGGCCTAGAAGGTGGCAATTTGCTAGCCTCTGCTTCCTGAATGCTGGGATCAAAGATATGGACCACCATGCCCTGCTTTCAATTTTTTTAAAAGTGTATCTTCAAAACCATAAGCCCAGGCCTTCTAAAGCACAGGGACTAGGCGAGAGCAATTCATAAGCAAATTATGTTTGTTTTTCTCTAAGACTACCTCATTCCTTAGGTCTTCAAAACCTGCTACCTCCATCTGTCAAGCTTGGGCGATTTCAGCTAGACAAATCTGAACGGTTCCAACAACAGATCACTGTTTTTGGCAAGCGGAAGCTAAACCAGCGGGAACTTCGCTGTGATCTCTTTAAGCACTTAAGCATCCTATTCGTCTCCAAAAACAATCGTACAAAGCAAGTGTCCCGTTTCTGAAACTAAGTAGGGGAAACAAGGCTCACGCTAACTTGTCATTTAACAGCACGTGGCAGAAACCAGCCTAGTGAAGGGACTTAGGTTTAACGGAGAATTCGGCATTCTATTATATTTGCCATCTGCACAAAAACACTAAATTAAGAGCGGCAGGCAGCGTCCCGAGGGGGAAAGCAGTATTCCACGCTGGGAAAGAAGTTTCGAGCAGATCGGCAGATAAAAAAAGACCACCGCACGGAAAAGGGCGGAAATTATTCAGGCCAAGTTCTACAGGGCTCCGGCACACTTCTTTGGTCTTAAAACCTAACCAAATATAAAGAACTCTCGGACTGTACGTAAAAACTCCCCGGTTCGACTAGGTTTCATAATCTCTATTAAAAAAGAAACAGAAGTCGGACTAGGAGAGGTGGAAGTGACCAGACGCCTCGGGCGGGTCCCCCTCGGTGAGAGGTTTGAACCCCACTGGAGCGCACTCTGGGCTGGGCCCTGGTCCCACCCTCCGAGCTCAGTGGCCTCATAACCATCCCATTGCCCCCCCCCCACACACACACACACAAACCCTGAAAGAATCTCTGTTATAACAGTAAGCCCATTTTCACCCACTGGCTTTGAAACCTGAAAAGCACGGCTTACGGGAGGTTGGGGGGGCCAGAAGAACAGGTTTTATAATTCCCATCAGTCTATCAAGTTGGGGGTGCTGACGCGAACACCGCAGGCAAGGGAGCAAAGACCAGCCACCCTGCAGCCAACCCAGGTTACAAAATGTGTACAATACTTTTCAAGATGACCTCGCACGCCGTGACACTAAAAAGTAGCCGTCTTCACTGAACTTCCTTTCCACCCAAGACCCCAGAGCTCAGGGGACCCCAAGCGAGTGCAATTAACCAGACGCTGGGTATTAGGTCCCCAGAAGGGTCCCTGCCCCGCAGGCGCGCCCACCCACCACTCGCAGGGTCCGCTCCCCAGGCTCTGTCCTGAGTCTGGTTAATCATTCAACGCGGGCGGCGTGGAATATTTTTTTAGAGGTCAAAGCGAATGGTTCTCCCGAAGTTTCACAGAAACCAGTCTTTGGGGACCCGGAGGTAACAGTGCCTGCGGCTTGGGGGAGGGCGCGGGTGGAAAGCTGCCGCCAGCGGCTCACAAACACCTGATCTGCCCCTGCGGCACCCGAGCCCGGCGCAGTGCGCGGGCGGGGCAGCACACCGCACGCGCCGCTCCCCCACCGCCCGGGCCTACCAGATGGCACGTCAGATCGGAAGAGCGTCGTGCCATCTGGT